AATCGGAAGAGCAAGAAAAGCTCATTGGTTCACTCGCAAAACGGCTCGAAACCCTAACCGCGAGAACCAAAGCAATTCGCCCCCGCGGAACTACCAAGATCCGCGGAAGGAGACTCGATTTCGGTGCTCCTACGGATCGTCCCAGAATCGATCAGGGAAACGTACCGGAAAAGGATTCCAGAAAAGAAAACCCTGACACAACGCTGAACGAATCGGAAAAATCTCTCGCGAACAGCAGACCGAAGGCGACGGCATCGAAAGGGTCAACCTGGAAACGAGCGACCAGGCCGACTCGACAGACGAAGACGCCGACGTCCATCCTAGGAGAAGGAAAACTCGCAGTCCTCAACCGGAGTCGTGTCCCGAACGTTCCTTTACTGGAGACGAAGGAGAACTCGACTTCGCGCGATACGCAAAAACCGCTGAGGAGCGATCTCCGGTCACTCGCAGCAAACGCCGACAGGGTCGGAAAACTGCTGGCAATCAGACCGAGATTCGCGATCTCCGCGAATACATTACCAAAACTGCCGCGCCCGAGATCGATCGGCTGCTGTATGAGTCTCGGAAAACGCCCTTCACGGCTCGCATCACCGAGATCAAACTGCCCGATCCCGAAAAGCTTAAGGTGCCAACTTACGACGGGACGACCGATCCCAAAGCGCACCTGCAAGCGTTCCAGATCACCATGGGACAAGCCAAACTCAAGGACCACGAAAAAGACGCAGGTTACTGCCGCCTCTTCGTCGAAAACCCTAGTTTGCCTAAAATTCTTCTCTATAGTTTGCCTGAACAAACCCTAGTTTGTTCGCGGAAAAACCCTAAGTTATTCGTGACAAAACCATAGGTTGTTCGCGGAAAAACCCTAGGTTACTCACGGAAAGCACCCTAGGTTTTTCGCGGAACAAACCGTAAGTTACTCGTGAAATAAACCCTAGGATACTCGCGGCTGTTCGCAAAAAAAATCATTAGGTAACTCGCGGAAAAACCGTAGGTTACCCGCGGCAAAACCCTAGCTCTACCCACGGAGAAGTCCTAGGTCACTCGCGGAAAAACCCTAGGTTATTCGCGACAAAACCCTAGGTTGTTCGCGGAAGAACTTTAGGCTACTCACAGAATCGGGCAATACTATCCAGCCGAAAAGACGGTGAGTTGGCCAAGCAACCTAGCTTGCCATCTTGGCGAGCTGACCGGCTTTCCACCTCGTCCTAGAGGCACTGACTT